TGCGCCGTCTCTGGATCCAGGGTCAAGCTTACTGGGGACAGCGAGAAAGAAAACGATCGTTGGAGGCAGGGTCAGAAGTACGTCTACGTGGCGTTGCACCAGCACTTCTCAGCCCTGGTTGAGGTAGCCTTACTCAGACCCGCTGCAAAGAGCCCCCCCGTGTAACCTCAAACCCTCTCCTCAGCAATTCCTCTGTACCTTGAAATTTCATCAACATCTCCTTGAGAGCAAAATTCTTCTGAGGAAAACCGGGGGGTTTCTCTCCCAGCTCCGGTGAGACCTTTTCTGACTTCTGGACGTCATCCTTTTCAAGCCTGGGAAGGAACAAAAGACCTTGCTGATAATGATGCCTTCCCCCATAATTGTCGTTATACCCTGAGCAATTTTCATATAAAGAGCAGCTTTGTAATAGGATTGGAGGGAAGGCTTGGCCCCAGGGAAGTCATTAAGGACTTTCCGGAGAAGAATTTGCTGACCCAGAGCACACACTCACTTTGTAAATGTTTTCACCTCAGCTAATGCCTCCATGGCCTTTGCTTTTCATGGAGGGGCATGACTCATCTCATTCAGAAGCAGGTCAGATGAATCATGCTCTGCAAGTCCCCTCCTTTTGTCTACAAAGGGGCCAGGATAACCAGGCCTCTGCCCTGGAGACATTCAAAGCGAGGAGAAAAGAGCGTCACAACCAGCCGCTTCGGCCAAGCCTGAACTTCTCCCCCCTGCGTTTCCTTGGTGCGACCAAACGCTCAGTGAATCAAGAGCCCTCAGCAGCCTCGGCTCTCCTGATGCGGCCCCGGCCAAGCGGGCTCGGCTAGCTTAGCTGTAGCCACCTGAGCACTCAGATATGCTCTGAGCAAATCCCTCAGCCCTACTTCAGTTCCCAAGCATCGTGCCCTAAAGAGTCCCTGGACAGCAAAGCCTTTCTAGCATGACCAGCAATGCTTGAGGCCAAGGGAAGTGCAGGCAATAAAACTGTCTTTCCTTGTTTGGTTGGTTTTTTTCTTTCAAATAATCTACCTTCTCGGCCTATTTCCAAAGAGCATTACTCATGAAGAGGTCTGTTACTGGTACAGAAGTTCACACGGGGTTCTCTCCCACTTGGAAGCACTCATCAGTATGTAACATCTGAGTATCTTAAGACTGTTGGACTGTTTTTGACCAGCTCACAAAGGCGAGGTGTGAGAGCTCGGCTCACATCCTCCAGAAAACCCACCACGGACGGTTTTGATGCAGGGACTAGAGGAGAAGTTGAAGCAGAGCTGGAGGTACCATCGTCCCACCTGGTACTCTTAGCTGGTCTCCAGCGCCCTACTTGGACTCGGTGCCTTTTGCTATGTTCCAGCCTATTCCTATATGTCTTTACAGTACCTAGCACACGGGGGTCATAGGGGGCTGGGATTTCGGAGTCCATCAGTGCCACCACCGTAGAGATAAACAACATTAACATCACAACATGTGAGAAGGAGCCGCAAACCTGCTCAAGATGTTTCTGCTGTCCTACAAGGGAAAGATGAGAGAAGGAAGATGAGTTCAGAGCAAAGCCAACCCGATAGTTAACTACAAGGCTGTACCGTGGGGCTGTAGGCTGACCTCAGAGGACTTAAGGCACTCCTCTGTGTTTCCCCACATCTAAAATGAGTCCCGAAATACTGATTTGCCTGTAGAGCATTTGCAGAGCTGCTGCTGGGCTAGGTGAGGTCGTAGCAACATTAATGAGTTGCTCTTTGTAGTCTACCCACAACCTTTCATATCATTTCAGGTCACCTGTTTGAATAACTAGCTGAAAGAGATGAGTTGCACCCAGAAACTGCCCACTCTCCAGAGACACTGAGTATAAAGGGATTTAGGCAATGTTTTTGGATGGAGACCTCTCAAATGGGGCGGATGAATCCCATACTCAGAAATGTGTGGTCATCCAAGTAGATCGCACTTGATTTAAAGTATTCCTGTGGACAGCTGGGCCATGTTTGTGAGTGTTTAAGGAAAATATGTATTTAATATGACAGGTTTTTTTTAAAGCTTAAAAAGAGGGAGGATTTAGAGCGCATTTGACTCCTAGGCTGGTGGCCCCAGTGATGTTCCTGGTCAACGGTCTTCCCCGGGGGCTGAGCTCTCACCTGCAGGAATTCACACGCCGGCTGCTGACACTTTTCTTCCAGCTCTCTAATCTCCTCGCTGATGGAGGAGATTTCCTCTGAGAGCCTGGTGATGTTCTCCTCCTGTCTCTTCACGATCTCCTGGTCCAGCTCTGCCAGCCGGCCCAAGAGAAGACGCTCCTGGCCCTCCACAAACTGGTGCAGCTCCTCGATTTCAGACACGACCTTCTGTCTCTCCGTTTCCACCCTTTCCTGCAACAAGAACCGACATGCGCAAGGACTGGGCAGGGAAGGGAGACAGAAAGGGCTGGGAGCGGTCCCAGATGGGCTGGTTTAGGGTGACAAATTTCGGCACAGCACAACCCAGGGCCCCGTGCAGAGGAACGTTCAGTATTTGAGACAATTTTTTTTTTTCTTTTTTCCACCGTTTCTAGGCGGAAGTGGCTGGCTAAGGGCATTTCCCACGGACTGAACTCCTCGTGCCTGCAGTACTGTAGACCTTTGAACGACGGGGCAAGAAGCAAAGCAGAACCATAAACAGATAAGCCGGAGAAAGAGATCGGAGAAAGGGAAAACAAGGCAAGAAAGAAGCAACTGGGTGACTCCCTTTTCTGTCACGGGGAAATTCTGGGAACCTGCCCCACTTGGGAGCAAACCAAGGAAGGAAAAGACCCATCCTGGGAAAACCATCTCCCAGCCTGCTGAGAGGTACGAGGAGCAGGAGACATGGGGGAAATGGGAGCATCTCTCAATCTGCCCCACAGACAGGCTGTCACCATGCCCGGACCTTCCCACGATGGAGAGGACATTCCCAGTTTCCACATGGAAGAGGAAAGGAAGGAAGACCACGGAAACACGATCTTTGGCGACGTATCTTCACGTCCATCGCCACGGCCAGCGGGACAACCGAAAGGAAAGAAAGGGAGAAAGCCACCACCACCCAAGGACAAAGAACCAGAAGCTTACGAGGAAATCCAGGCTTTTCCCCTCCTCAGCCGTTTTCAGCCCCAGCAGTTTTTCTCTCCTGTCCTTCAGGATCTGCACATGAGCCTGGAATTTCTCCTGAGCAGGTAAAGACCATCTCGTTAGTGCGGTTTCTTCCCGTAGTTAGGTCCATCCCTGCACCCTGTTCATCCCACCCAGCTGGGCTCACCTCCTGCAAACTCGAAGGAGTCTCCCTTGCTTAATAATGCCATAATTTGGAAGTTTCCTGCCATTGCCAGGGGGGCTATTCATGACATAACGGCAGAGAAAAGACTCGGGCCAAGGACTGGAGTGGACGAGTGACTTGAAATGATGGAGGAGACCCCGCCGGCATCTGCTCAGGCTCAGCGTGCGCTCAGAGCTGAGCCAAAATTTATAAGCGTGGGCTGCCGGCTGGGATCAGCTGCCAAGGAACGTGCTTTCAATCGCAACCTCGCAGCCTGGCCAAGGACCCGCATCTGACATGGTGCGTATCTACATGCAGCATCTCCTGTGGCCCCCAACGTCCACGAGGGCACAGCTGACCCTGCTTCGAGCAGGCGGGCGGCCTAAATGAGCTCCTGAGGTCCCTTCCAGCCTGAATTAAACGATGATCCTGTAACGATGCTGGGACCAACAGCTTCAAGCTGGTAGGAGCCACCAGCAACGTAAGCGAGGGGCAAGAGCAGTCGGGGCAAAGCAGAGCGTGGACCGAAACACATGGAAATCTAGATGTTTGCCAGCAAAGCAGCTCTCACGGCAGCTGCTTCTTCTTCCTCCCATCCCCTCCTCCTCCTCCTCCCCGCTCTGCCCCACGCGGGGAGCTCCTACCTTGTACTCCTCCGCTGCCTCCTCGATGGGGACCACGGCGTGAGCCCGGTGCGCCTGGGACTCCCTGCAAACCAGGCAGATGGGGGCTCGGTCCTCCTCGCAGAAGAGCTTCAGAGCTTCCTGGTGCTTCTGGCACAGCCTCTCCCCGCCGGCCCCTCCTTTGGCCGCCTGCAAGCTCAGCCGCTTGGCGATCTCGATGATTTTGGCCAGCTCCCGGTTGGGTCTCAGGTTCCTCCGCGGGGCCGTCTCTTTGCACCGGGGGCAGGCGAAAGCGGTCTCGGCTTCCTCCCAGCAGCGGGTGATGCAGGCGCGGCAGAAGTTGTGGCCGCAGTGGATGGAGACGGGGTCCTGGAAGAACCCCAGGCAGATGGAGCAGGAGGCTTCGTCGTGGAAACTTTCGACGGGGCCGGCGGTGGCCATGGCCTCGGCGGGGG